TGCCTCTAATAAAGACAGCAAGAGCAGGATGGAGACGGTTATTGCGGGAACCAGCTTTTAAGCCAGCTTCTCCGCCACCGGCTCCTGCTCCCCTCTGCCCTTTCCGCCTCTGATAGAGGCAGCAGGGGAAATGCAAGTAGTCGACTTGACTACTCTCTTACATCTCCAGTGGGTACCCACAATGCTGATGTCCACCCACCAATGAGTTCACATTCCATTAAACTAGGAGCCAGTGCTGGAGTTACCAGATACCATTCACAATTGTTTGTCTGGCCATGGGAAGATGGATGGTTCTGTTTGATGAACTCAATATAATCAGAAAGCTTCACCTTTCCTTGATGGTAAGGCTGTGTTGATTTAAACGATGGAGCATTTCATTGAGAATCCAACCAATCACTTTCTTTGGATTCATCTGGGTCTGTCTCACTACATTTTCAAAGAACTTCACTAATCCCTCTTCATTCTGTTTAGAAAAAGAATTCAATAGGTCAATGACAGAAGGGTACAAAAATGAATATCTTAGGAACATCACATCTGTGTATTTAGAGAGTACTGTCCCTGTCTCATTCCCAGTTAAATCGGTGCCCTCACTGCAAGGTCTTGGCAACCTCTAGTAACTCCTGGAAGGCAACATCAGATGAGATACTATATGCTACTATGGGAAGCTCTATAAAAAGAATACATAAGAAGAGCTGCCAGTCTGTCTGCAGGTTGATAGAAACTACAGTCTTATCTTTCATTAATCCTTCCCTGAAATTTGTATACAGGGAGAAGTTGCTTCTCCCCAGGTAGGTGTTGAGAGTTCTCTTGCTCTGTTCTAGCCTGTCGACCCACTGATGAAAGGAGGGTCAAAGAACATGCTATGTTTGCCAAGGTATGGTTTTCTGAAGCCACCTAGAAATATTTAATGTTTGATCTTGCAAGATGCATTTCAGGATGCTGGAATAAAATTAACTTGTTTCTATCCTTAGGTTATTTGGATAGGTCAGACTTGAAGCAGCAAAATTTTTACGATTCTATTTTTTCTTTTAATTAATTCTGATGAAGGCCTTTAGAATTGGAAATGTATTGCATTGGAGGACACAGATTCAGTTGAAAGCGTACAAGAAATCTGCGATTGTTCTTTTAGTAAACCAGAAACAACAGGATCTGATGGATGCTGCGATGTTTGTCCCAATGTTGGCTCAAGTAACTATAGCACATAACTCAAAAGACTTCCAAGGGGCTGTGGCTATTGTAAACAGGCATTCTTACTTATCAAGGGAAGATCTCAAATTCAGTTCTGCTACTGGACTTTGTATACAAGTTAAAAATTATTAATTTAACTGTCTCCTTTCTAAACACTGTAATTTTTCTACTTCTCCTCAGGACTCATTATTCCAAACAAGGATATTAAATCTGAAAATGACAAGATAACTAGATAGACAGTATTACTTTGGAACTTCACTCAGGAAAAAAAGTGAGTAGGTATCAATGCCTGTGACGAGGTTGGCCTGCCCCGAACTGAACAGGGGGGAGGAGAGCCCGTCTATTGGGTAGAATATGCCCCTCCCCCACAGCCCTGCTGGGCATGCTCGCAGTGCAGCCCAGTATAAAAGGCTACTGGGCTGCTCACTTGGGGCTGACCTCCGGGGAGGAAGGAGCTCTGGCCCAAACCCCAGAGCCACAGCCGGACCTGCTGCTGGAACCAGAGCCGTTGGGACCGCCGCCATTGCTGCTACCATCCCCGGATTGAGCCTACCCGCAATGCCAACTCCGGGGGGCCACCCGCCCCGCTGCAGTGAACAACCCTTTCGCTGCTGCCCCAGACCCGGGACTTGCCGACATTGCCGCCGGCGCCGGCCCAGCTTCGCCAGGTGGGGTATCCCCAGGTGGGGTTGGAGTAGGAAGCAACCCAGGGCAAGGAACCCCTCAGTGGGCTCGGTGCGTTTTAGGGAGAACTTCCCGCCGAGCCAGTGGTGGGAACCACCCACCACTAATAGGGCCCTGGGTTGGGGTCCGGTGGAGAAGGAGGGCCCAGACCCCCCTACCCCATCCCCTCAGGGCGTGGACTAGGCCTCAGGGCCTGCGAATTGTGCTGAACTCGGCCTCAGGGCCTGCTTTAACCTTGTGGAGAAGAGGGCGGGGCTGGGGACCCCGCCACAATGCCCCTTATTAGCAAATACTATAGAGGGCACATTTTTAACATGGGTGGAGCAGATATGCCCACAAAAATGGTCACACGGGACACACTCAACCGAGTTGCCAGACCCACACTTATTAGCTTTGTACATGAAAATTCACATAGTTGCAACCTCTTCATTTTGCTTTTCTTGAAAAATCTGCCTAGTATTATCTTTACCAGTTAACCAGTCTATGAAGAGTGGGACAAAGTGTGTGCTTTTAAAGCTTGAATGAATCAATGTGACATGAATGGAATATTTTTCTTGTTGTTCTTGCAATTTGTTATATGACCGAAAAGACTAGAGCCTTTGATTTCTGACAGTCATTGCTACCCTACTATTGGAAGTTAGCTTGGACCACTTGTGCATTCTGATCAACTTTCCTAGAGCCAAATTCACTCGCATGCAAAACCAAAATCATCCTGTGACTCATATTAGGAATATTTATCTGAAGATGTTTGTCAGTTTATGAAACATCTCATGCATCAGATAGTTGAGCTATGGAGCTCTTATATACTAGATACGGACACAGAAAAACAATATTGTCCATAATCCTAACTCTCATCACTTGCTATTCAATGCAAGACAGCTAATTTTTCACCACAAATTCCAGTTTTCTTACTGCATTTAATAAGTACTTCTGCACTATCAGCTTTAAAAGATCAGCATGTATTAAAATAAAAATTCCCAGATAGAAGAAAATTTTAAACAAATATTTAACATGACTATAGCAGATACAACTCTCATAAATGCTGCGTAAGCATCAGGCTAAAAATAAGATGAAAATCAAATAATAGAGAATACTGGCAGAGAAGGCATCCATAACACACGTATACTTTAAAGCACACATCTCCTTACAACCAGTTACTGAACGACATAAGCCAAAGGATATTTTGGATCTTTACCTACCTCACATAGTATATGACCAGTTAAATAGCTTAACAGCAATACTCAGCACTTAAAACACCACACCTTCGTAATGAAAAAACACAAAAATCAAAAACAAATTTACCATCTTAAAACCTTCACCAAATGTTCCCATGTTCTGATTCATAGGAATGCTAACTGACTACTCCACTTTATCCTGAACAGAACGGGAAACAGAATTTCGGAATTAGAGCACTGTCTTGTTATGGTGGGTTACGTGGCGCTTTCAGTACATAGTGTACCAATACACTGTCACTTGCTCATTAGAATCTAATTGGAACAAAATGCAGCATTCAAAATGTTAGGCAGATGCAAAGGCATTTTTTACATAGGATTTAAATTGATTCTTTAATAGTCCTAAACTGTCTACAATAGACGGTGTGGTTTCAAATGTCTTTCTAACCAGTTTAGCTTTAAAATGCTATCATGTTTTGCAATATCTCATGGAAGCAATTTTTGCAGACATTTGGCCCACAATGTGAGCTGGTGTTTTTAAAGTCCAGCTGATGCCTTCTAGAAAACCATAAAAGAGACAAGGAAACCATTCTACTGAAAAATAATTCTGCTCATATCTCATTTTCTGCTTTGTTCTCTCTTTGTTTGTATCATTAGTATTTCCACAGCAACCAGCTCTGAGGAAACAAACAGAGGAGCATGTGGGAAAGATGTAACAGGAGCCAGTAAAGGTATAAACTGTGTGGAAAAGAAGCACAGAAAGACTAGGTTACATAACAAATAGACTAGTTCAGAACATTTTCAACATCTTTCAGATCTATCAATTAGATCTTAAAACCCCTTAGATGTTATAACTTTTACAATAAGCACACATGCACCTGTATTTTAGAGTGATAGGGTATTTTAGACTTATCTCTAATCGATATTAGAGTGAGTGCACGTACTATAGGGAGCAGGCAGAGGAAGAGAATGAATGAGCATATAGGTCTTTGCCATCTCTATCTTCTAAACTTAAATGACCCCAATCTATACATGACGGCCATAAAAACTTGGATGGATCTCTTTGGATGTCAATATGCTTTTTATTAGGATTATTTCATAGCAGCACATTAACTCCAAAGTTCTATATCAAATTAGCAAAGCGACTAAACCCCAACCCAAACAAAGAACTCATCCACCAGGAAGAAAGCCAAAATGTAAATACCACATGTGACAAAAACCTCAGCAGGTCTCCTTAATTGCAGGTGCAATATGTGCGGGCCTACTGGTTTGTTCAGATTGAATTTGCATGCACAAACCAAGTAACTCAACATTTAGCTGCTCAAATGGCATGAACAACTGCCTATAAGCATGTGTAAATGTGGGATTTTGTCGGAGAAATGTGTGTTCCTACAAATACTCCCAGTTAATTATTGCAATTATAAAAGTCTGCTGAAAATTTGGCGATCCATAAGAATCCTCAGAGACTAGGAAATTCACTTCCATTTCAGTTCATCCTGTTGTATATGTATCTGGCAGGAGCCGCAATCTTCCACATAGGAACATGCGTGTGCACGCATAAGTAGTTACTGCAATACCTAAATACGATGTTAATTTTGAAGTCAGACATTTTAATTTACTTTTTGTGCATAATGTTCACACTAATAAGCAGGGGTAGAATATACATTCTGAATTGTGAAGCCATCCCTCTACTATTGCCATTCATTTAATGAATACTCCTGGGCACTGTAACTTGAAAGACTGTTTCTTAGATTTGTGCATCTGGCCCCATCAAAGCCATCAATGGTAGTTCTGTGTTAGGCTTAAAACAGCAATGGAAACACAATTTTCAGGTGACTTAAGGTTAACTATCCTCTCCAGTGAGTCAAATAAGTGAATTTCTATGGAGAATAAAAACGTGGATATCCTAATCTAATGTATTAGATCAAAACATATTTGTTTTCCTAAATAAGGATTGTTCCTAAGGTGGAGTTAATTATACACATGTGAAAAGAAACATAGGCTCCTAAGCACATTAACATCCCAACATCTCTCAGCTGCTACGTTCACAGCCACAGGACGTCTAGATGACTTAAGACTAGGGCTGTCAATTAACACACATTAATACCTGCGTTTCCGCAGCACTGCCCCTTTGAAATGCTGCCAGGGCATTTGAAAGGGGCAGTCCAGTGGTAGCCTGGGATCAGCTGGAGTCCCCAGCTGATCCTCGGGTCCCGCCATACTGCCCCTTAGAAATGCTGTGGTGGTGTTTCAAAGGGGCAGGAAACGCAGAGCCTGGGATCAGCTGGAGTCTTATTATTGTTTAACAGCACGATTAATTGGGCAATTAATTTTTTTAATCACCTGACAACCCTACTAATGACAGATCTGCCCACCAAAAATGAGGAAATCTTATGATTCACTGGTAACACGAAACACCAGTAAGGCAAGAACCGTCCTACCCACATTCTTAAGAGATTTCTTGAAAACTTGATTTAAATACTGGACACAGTCATCACTGTTGGATCAATTCAAAAGGGATTTAAAGAGAACAAGGATGCTGCAATTTCATTTCAAGAGACTGGAAGGTCTTTAGATGGATTCTAGAGGTTTCCAGATTTGAAACAACCCTTTCTTTACCATCCAGAACCCCCTCACCAACTTACTGACTGCATGTTTTGGGCAAAGTTTCACCATGTTAGATGTTGTACATATTTTACCAAAACAATAGTTATTCTTTGTTTTGCTAAGCAAGGACAATGTGGTTGGCTCTGTTCCAGACACCAAGACAAAACAATACCTGTCTGCCAAGATGATTGCGCACCTGTAGACAAGTGCATCAGTCAGCACTGTTAACTAGTCCACTTGTAGAGAGATGAGATCATCATTCATTAGCAATTTGTTACCTCCCAGTTTGTTCAGGAATCGCTTCCCATAGAAACAAACAGCACATGTTATTTCTAAGCCTATTTGAAGGATTTGGCACAGAGCTAACAATTTAAGGATGATGTTAGATACATTTCCAAATTTAAAAATCCACGGCAGCTGACAGCTGGTTAATATAACATTTTACACTCTGTTTTCTCTAAGCACTGAAACTTTGAAGTGTCTCGGTTTAGTTTAGCACTCAATCAATAGACCCACCAATAAGGTGAAACTGTGTTCAGGCAGAATCCCATACTGTTCAACAAGCTTCTCTCTCCTCACACTGGGCATATCAGGAAGCCTCTCCCGAATCCAATCAATATTCACCACTTGCCGATGGTTCACATTAGCAGGCAATGATTTAGTATCATACAGAATCAATGGAGGGAGGTTTGGCTCTGGCATGAACCTGGGGAGAACAAAGAGAGATGTATTTGTGGTTATTTTTAATCAAGACAATTCTCACCATCTCAATAACAAGCCGTAACATTTATGTGAAAAAGTTAATGCTCCTCTAGAAATTGTATTACAAGATTTAACCAAACAAGATACTGAGACTACACTGCTCAGGATAAAATCAATGGAGGGAGGTTTGGCTCTGGCATGAACCTGGGGAGAACAAAGAGAGATGTATTTGTGGTTATTTTTAATCAAGACAATTCTCACCATCTCAATAACAAGCCGTAACATTTATGTGAAAAAGTTAATGCTCCTCTAGAAATTGTATTACAAGATTTAACCAAACAAGATACTGAGACTACACTGCTCAGGATAA